CAATCAATTTGATGAGAACTTTCTGAGATGAACAAACAAAGCATTAGACAAATTGGCCATGTCTTACAGGGTATTTATGTTGCGAAATTCTAAATTTGAAATCTTTGTGTTTGCCCTATGTAGAATCTATTACAGTCTTTGGCCATGTCTTACTCCGTTCATATCATATGTGCTTGCGTAAATGATTGATTAATTCTACCCGCGGTAATATTTTCCTCCTGTCAAAGGAAAATTTCGTTTTGCGTCGTGTTGCGAAGAGGTGGATGTAAACATTGATCCCTTCGTAGGCTGGAATGTGTTCCGGCTTGTGCGCTGCGTGTTGTCTAGGAATGTTCTTCCTGCAGTGTCAAAGGGAAATTTCGTTTTGCGTCGTGTTGGGAAGAAGTGGATGTAAACATTGATCCCTTCGTAGGCTGGAATGTAGGAGTGTTCCGCCTGCAGTGTCTAGGGGAAATTTCGTTTTGCGTCGTGTTGCGAAGAGGTGGATGTAAACATTGATCCCTCTTTAGACTGGAATGTTTTATGCGCTGCGTGCTGTCTAGGAGACTTAACTAGTTATTACACTAAATAAACGTTTCTAATGTTTACTTCCAATAAAGATGAGAATTTCGCATTTATGTTCAGTGTGTTTTGATCTGTTTTACTCTGGCGTACACTCGTTGTTGTTTGTTTATAGGGATGTTTGTTTCTTCTTCCTCTGGGGGCCTTCCCGAGAAGGAAGTGTGTGTGTGTGTGTGTGTGTGTGTGTGTGTGTGTGTGTGTGTGTGTGTGTGTGTGTGTGTGTGTGTGTGTGTGTGTGTCTGTGTGTCTGTGTGTCTGTGTGTGAGCGTCCGAGGGCACAGGAGGTCAGGCGCTAGGTGACCTCAGTCGCCTGACCTCCCAGCTGGTCTCATAAACTGGTGTAATGCACGCACTCATTCACCTTCCTCACATACCTTCATATCTGCTTCCAGACCTGTCATCATATCTACCTCCACACCTGCCTTCATACCTACCACCATATCTGCCTTCATACCTACCACCACATCTGCCTTCATATCTGTCTTCACAAGTGTGTATATATAAAAGTTAGATATATATACACACGTACCAAAAGAATAGGGGTGGTAGGAGAAGAAAATATCAAAGTGTTCAGTGAGGATCCACAAGGTCTTCTCCGAGTACTCTTTATTTTCTTCTCCGAGGCTATGGGTCCCTACACTTGCACCAGAGGTGGTACCCTTCTAGGTAAATATATATATATATATATATATATATAATATATATATATATATATATATATATATATATATATATATATATATTTTATATTTATATACACACGCACGCAATTTATAAAACACAAATTTAAATTATATCCTCTGACTCGCAGAGAACACTTCAGGCATTGAAAGTGTTAAAAATACACCGAGAAATAAGTCGTAGATATTAGAATGAATATTTTAGCTGCTAGATAAACTACCCCAAAAAAAGGTTTGAGATTAAATTCCTGTGAGGACGATAGCATGTGGACACAAAGCATAATAGTTTAGACATGCAGACAACCAAACTAGCAAGACCAAGGCCACGGAAACAAGGTGTTTCATTAGTCGTTAACGAGGGGGTGAATACTGAAGTGACTATCTGATGATAATCTTCCCCCCCCCCGTCCAACCACTTGGGTTGGACGGTAGAGCAACGGTCTCGCTTCATGCCGGTCGGCGTTCAATCCCCGACCGTCCAAGTGGTTGGGCACCATTCCTTCCCTGCCCCGTCCCATCCCAAATCCTTATCCTGACTCCGTTCCAAGTGCTATATAGTCGTAATGGCTTGGCGCTTTATCCTGATAGTTCTCTCTCTCTCTCTCTCCCCCCCCCCCCACCGACCTGAGACAAAACTGCAGCAAAGGAATGGTTTGCCAACCACTTGTGGACGGTCTCGGGGGATTGAACGCCGACCTGCATGAAGCGAGACCGTCGCTCTACCGTCCAGCCCAAGTGGTTGGGCGATTACCTTAAGGAGACATATATACGTTGAACTAAGGAAGCAGGAGCTTCTTGAGCATTATATTGCACAATACCTGCTGTCATTGTTGTACCCCCTTGGGTTGTGGTGTTCCAAAACTGTCAATATTCTTTGAATTCTGCAACACTTAATGACATTCTTTGATGCATGTCCCAGCTTTGCTATGCAACAATAATGTAATATGTCACATAAAAGAACACATTAATCATCATCTGTGGTCGAGTCGGTGTGTACTCATCTAGTTGTGCTTGCAGGGGTTCAGCTCTGGCTCTTTGGTCCCGCCTCTCAACTGTCAATCAATTGGTGTACAGGTTCCTGAGCCTACTGGGCTCTGTCATATCTACATTATAAACTGTGTATGGAGTCAGCCTCCACCACATCACTGCCTAATGCATTCCATCTGTTAACTACTCTGACACTGAAAAAGTTCCTTCAAACGTCCTTGTGGCTCATTTGGGTACTCAGTTTCCACCTGTGTCCCCTTGTGTTCCACCCGTGCTAAATAGTTTATGTTTATCCACCCTGATGGCTGAGTGGACAGCGCTTGGGATTCGTAGTCCTAAGGTTCCGGGTTCGATCCCCGGCGAAGGATGAGCGTGATGTGAGCGTATTACAGCCATGTGGAAGTTAACCGCGATCTCACGCGGGCGTTATTATGCTGTCTGTATCAATCATCCCGAGGTTATCATTCCGGCGTGTTCATCCGGACCTTATGATTCTGAAGCCATCATCCCTCCATTATGGTTCAGGAGTCTAAGGCGTCTAAGCGTCTAAGGCGTCTAAGCGTCTAAGGCGTCTAAGGCGTCTAAGGCGTCTAAGGGGGTCTAAGGCGTCTAAGCGTCTAAGGCGTCTAAGGGGCGTCTAAGGCGTCTAAGCGTCTAAGGCGTCTAAGGGGCGTCTAAGCGTCTAAGGCATCTAAGGCGTCTAAGCGTCTAAGGCGTCTAAGGCATCTAAGGCGTCTAAGCGTTAAGGCGTCTAAGGCATCTAAGGCGTCTAAGGCGTCTAAGGCGTCTAAGCCCAGTTAAACCAGACCAAACCCGGGTTTCATGCGAACGACAACCAGGTTTTCCTAAACATAATGTTACCATGGGGAGCCGGTCGGCCGAGCGGACAGCACGCTGGTCTTATGATCCTGTGGTCCCGGGTTCGATCCCGGGCGCCGGCGAGAAACATTGGACAGAGTTTCTTTCACCCTATGCCCTTGTTACTTAGCAATAAAGTAGGTACCTGGATGTTAGTCAGCTGTCACGGGCTGCTTCCTGGGGGGTGGAGGCCTGGTCGAGGACCGGGCCGCGGGGACACTAAAGCCCCGAAATCATCTCAAGATAACCTAAAGAAGATATCCCCCAGCTCCGTCATCAGCAGGATAACATCACATATCACAAATATTACAGGGGGGGGGGGGTAGGAATGGAATGTTGGCCAACCACTTTGACGGTCGGGGATTGAACGCCGATCTGCATGAAGCGAGACCCCTACCGTCCACTCCAAATAATTGGGCAGAAGCATTAGAAGAAAAACAAAATTCAGACGTTGTATATTTAGACTTTGCAAAGACGTTATGTGAGACCATGGAGTGATACCTTACCTTGAGGTTACCTTGAGGTGCTTCCGGGGCTTAGCGTCCCCGCGGCCCGGTCCTCGACCAGGCCTCCTGGTCGCCCTTATAAAATGAGATCAATTGGAATAACAGGTATACGAGAGCGATGTATTTTCAATCTGGCGTCAAACAACGTGCAAAGATTAACATGGGTGAAGAGCTCTGTACCACAGGGCAAAGTCCTCGCTCCTCTGTGTTTCCTCCTGCTCATGTCAGCTATAGTAAAAAACTACGTCACAGCTTCGTGTCATGCTTTGCAGACGTGTGTGTGTGTGTGTGTACTCACCTAGTTGTGCTTGCGAGGGGGGTTCAGCTTTGTCTCTTTGGTCCCGCCTCTCAACCGTCAATCAACTGGTGTCCAGGTTCCTGAGCTTACTGGGCTCTATCATACTTAGGATATATGTGGTTTTGTGAAACTATGTATGGAGTCAGCCTCCACCATCCATTACTGCCTGCCACTGTGTGTGTGTGTGTGTGTGTGTGTGTGTGTGTGTGTGTGTGTGTGTGTGTGTGTGTGTGTGTGTGTGTGCGCGTGCGTGCGCACAGCAATAATTATTATTACATTCAAAATCAGTCGTCAATAAACAGCATTAACATTATTGCCTGCAAGAACTACTAAGCAATATTGGTCTAATTTATCAACATTAGATAAGAATATATAACAAAAGGTATATTTACAAGTATATACATATCAAGGTCTGTTTCAGTGGCTCTACACACACACACACACACACACACACACACACACACACACACACACACACACACACACACACACGTGGGGGATTTTTAACTCGTTACAATAACAAAACTTAATGTGCTTCTTGTTACAGCTTGTAACGACAGCTGGATTGATTAGTCGAAATGGGAACCTGTCCCCAGGCCAGGATCGTTAAAGCAGCGGCCGCCTGTAATGACGCATCAAACTATGTTAATTAATTAACATACTGTGTATTTACAATAGCTACTCGGTTCCAAGTAGCATTTAATGGTGAATACTTATTCAGGAGCGTTCAAGTAGCACGGGCTAGTTAGCCCGATGACTTACCTGGCAAGGGAGGGTTACATACTGTGTATTACAATACAAATACTAAATAATTACAACGTAATATGTATATTATGTTGGTAGGTATTGTTTAGGTTTATTACGATACAGAACTACGTCTGTGATGTCTGTGGCACTGTTCGAGAAAAGTTCGAACGTCATCAGTTGTGAGTTGTGCACATGCGTTTGTCACTCATAAAATGAATGGTTTGGCGGCTGGATTAACGACCATTTGGCCTTTGTTGATGAGGACGGGTTGGATTTAGATTTAGTATATTTTTTGGCTAACGTCATAGGCTTTAAAATATTCGACCATAGTTGTAACTGCGCAGTGGACTCTTTTTGTTTCAGAGGGACTGGAAGACTCGTTCAGAAGGGTGTGAACAACTGCGCGCGCAGCTGAAGACCCTTGATGATATCACATCATTCCTGCCCCATATCCAGGACTTCCTCTCACTCCTCGACTCCCTCATCGACGATAACAACTTCAGGATATCCATAACTGTCCTCGATATCCTGCGCATCTTGATAGAAAAGCTTAAGGATGACCTTCCAACATACCTGAAGCAGATAGTACACTCGGTGATCAAGCAGGTCGGCGACTCCAAGGTGGTGGTACGCATCGAGAACATGAAAGTGTTCCAAAAACTCCTCCAGAACGCCACCCCGGCGGCGGTGATTCCCATTCTCTGTGATAACTTACGCCACAGATCTCCTCGAGTGAGGGAAGACTGTCTCAACTACATCATCTACGCCCTCATGACCTTCCCCAGCTACGAGTTCGACCTCGTCCACCTGGCGGAGAGGGTGAGTTCGAGTGTGGCGGACCCGAAGAGACGAGTTCGCCAGGCGGCGCTGGAATGCATGGCGGCCATTGCTCAGTTCCTGGGACCGGCGAAACTAGGTCCCTTAATGGCTGCCGTTGACCAATTGGAGGTGAGACATGTCTTTCTGTCCCTGTTGTTGTTTTAGACTCAGCTACTGGGATCAAAAAAGTCCCAAGTAGCACGGGCTATGGTGAGCCCGTAGCGGACTTACCTGGCACAGGAGCGGGGCTGTAACTGTGGTCTTTCTGCCCTGTTATTGCACCTTAATGACATCCATTACAAGATTAGGGATTATCAGGGCTCTAGAAGCACGTTAGGTAAGATTATAGGTGGATAGAACTATGCTACTCTATCCCTTTGATATGTATTATATTTTCCCAATAAACGAACTTAAACTTGATAAGATTGGACGCGGCTGCTCGCAGCATTGATGTATGAATCACAGCCTGGTTGATTAGGTATCCTTTGAAGGTGCTTATAAGAGTTCTCTCTTGAACGCTGTGAGAGGCCGGCCAGTTATGCCCCTTATGTGTAGCGGAGTGTTGAACAGTCTCGGGCCTCTGATGTTAATAGAGTCCTAGTTCTAGAGCCTCTACCACCCACAATACCCTCTGTACTTACCTAGTTGTGCTTGTGGGGGTTGAGCTTCGGCTCTGTGGTCCCGCCATTCAGCTTAACCAGATGTACGAAGCCGAGCAACCAGGCTCAGATGGTAAACAAGGTTATGCATGTCTCTCGTCGAACACAACGAGTTTTTTATTTACCCTATCCTACCCCAGTGTGTCCCTATCCTGCCCCAGTGTGTCCCTATCCTACCCCAGTGTGTCCCCTATCCTGCCCCAGTGTGTCCCTATCCTGCCCCAGTGTGTCCCTATCCTACCCCAGTGTGTCCCTATCCTACCCCAGTGTGTCCCTATCCTACCCCAGTGTGTCCCTATCCTACCACAGTGTGTCCCTATGTTACCCCAGTGTGTCCCTATCCTTCCCCAGTGTGTCCCTATCCTTCCCCAGTGTGTCCCCTATCCTGCCCCAGTGTGTCCCCTATCTTGCCTCAGTGTGTCCCCTATCCTGCCCTAGTGTGTCCCCTATCCTGCCCCAGTGTGTCCCTATCCTACCACAGTGTGTCCCTATCCTACCACAGTGTGTCCCTATCCTACCACAGTGTGTCCCTATCCTACCACAGTGTGTCCCTATCCTACCACAGTGTGTGTGTGTCCCTGCAGGATAAGGAGGAGGTGGACGGGGCTCTGGCGGCCGTGCAGGCTAGACTAGCGAGACGACAGCTGCCCCGAGTGACGCCTGATGGCCTCATAGAATACTCCCTGGCCGTCCCTTCCTCCTCCAGAAGGTCCAACTTAACTTACCCTAAAGGTAAAGTATGCTTCGTTGCTGCCTCCTTCAGGAGGTCCAACTTCCCTCTGTGTTGCCTTAAGCTTATCTGTCATAGCTGTATGTAGACGTATTAGTGTATGATATCTTGCTTATCCTGGGTGGATGTATTTAGGCTATGTATGATGTATTTGGCTTGCTATGTAGGATGTCTCTAATCATTCAGGATGTCTCAACGGTACATGTCACCTCTCGTTAGGATATAGAACCCTTCGCTCTTCTACCCTCAGCGGTTCAGGTCACCCTGATTACCCTGCAACCAAGGACTGAGGAACTCAAGGACTGAGAGGGACTGAGGGATTCAAGGACTGAGAAAGACTGAGAGACTCAAGGACCGAGAGGGACTGAGGGATTCAAGAACTGAGAAAGACTGAGAGACTCAAGGACCGAGAGGGGCTGAGGGATTCTAGGACTGAGAAAGACTGAGAGACTCAAAGACCGAGAGGGACTGAGGTATTCTTGGACTGAGAAAGACTGAGAGACTCAAGGACCGAGAGGGACTGAGGTATTCTTGGACTGAGAAAGACTTAGAGACTCAAGGACCGAGAGGGACTGAGAAATTCAAGGACTGAGAAAGACAGAGACTCAAGGACCGAGAGGGACTGAGAAATTCAAGGACTGAGAAAGACTGATAGACTCAAGGACCGAGAGGGACTGAGATTCAAGGACTGAGAGACTCAAGGACCGAGAGGGACTGAGGGATTCAAGGACTGAGAAAGACTGAGAGACTCTGAGGGATTCTAGACTGAGAAAGACTGAGAGACTCAAAGACCGAGAGGGACTGAGGGATTCAAGTACTGAGAAAGACTGAGAGACTCAAAGACCGAGAGGGACTGAGGGATTCAAGAACTGAGAAAGACTGAGAGACTCAAAGACCGAGAGGGACTGAGGGATTCAAAGACTGAGAAAGACTGAGAGACTCAAGGACCGAGAGGGACTGAGGGATTCAAGGACTGAGAAAGACTGGGGGGACTCAAGAACTGAGGGGACTCGAGGACTAAGAAGGACTCAAGATATCATATATCTCAAGATACTGAGGGTGTATTTCTTACAGTGAGTGGACTGGTTGTGGCCATCGGTACTGTGGTTGGCGCGGCCGTTCGTCTCAGTCAGCAGGTTATAAGTACGTCGCTATGTGCGTCTCACAGCATGTCGTGGATCCATTCTTCGTCCGAGTCCAGTCTAAATTGCGTTTTGATGAGAGAGGGGGAGGAGGGTAGTTTTTAACCTTGTCATGCACAGTTTGTGTGGTTTTTCAAGCATGTTGTCACTCACTGCGTGTTTGGTAAGTGTTTTTTCACAGCAGACTGTCACTTGAGTGCTTTGTATAAGACTGTGTAAGTGTGATTAGGTGTTTTAAAGTGTGTATTTGGGTAGAGTGATTGGGGGGGGGAGGGTGCTGGCTTCTCTGTGTGTGTTGTATCTATCTTACTCGTATGATAGATACATTTGTTTGATGTTTGATAATAGACATCTGCCTCCATCTCATGGTCACACCTGCCTTCACCCCCTTGGCCATCCAGGATTTCATGGGACTGTGGTCCAGTGGTGGTGTGTCTTGTCACTGTTATCACTGTACTGTACAGTATCACTTTTCACTGTACAGCTGTTCTTTGCACTCTTCACTGTGTGTGTGTGTGTGTGTGTGTGTGTGTGTGTGTGTGTGTGTGTGTGTGTGTGTGTGTGTGTGTGTGTGTGTGTGTGTGTGTGTATTCTCGCCCAATTGTGCTTGCGGGGGTTGAGGTCTGGCTCTTTGGTCCCGGCTCTCAACCGTCAATCAACTGGTGTACAGGTTCCTGAGCCTACTGGGCTCTATCATATCTACATTTGAAACTCTGTATGGAGTCAGCCTCCACCACATCACTGCCTAATGCATTCCACCTGTCAACTACTCTGACACTGAAAACATTCTTTCTAACGTCCCTGTGGCTCATGTGGGTACTCAGTTTCCACCTGTGTGTTTGTGTATCAATGCACATATACAATTAACTCCTATTTACATAGAAAGTATACGAAGTTTGGTTCAAATGACAATGAGGCGGTGAAGTTTCATGTTGAAACCACGCATGTAGGAGTAGGTGGAGTACGTAGCCATGTTTAGTAACGCAGCGTGCGCCCTCCAGCAGGTGCTGACGTGGACTGGGTCCTGGCGGGCTCCGGTACCATAGGGTCGGCGTGCCCAGGGGGCGGGAACCTGGCCACTTCGCTGTCCTCCTTCGCCGCCTCCGACTCCTTCGTCAACACCCTGGCCTACGCCCACCCGCTGTCTTCGCCCTCACGACGCAGGTTAGTGCCTCTGCTTCCCTCTCACGGCGCAGGTCAATTTCCTCTCCCTGTTGCGGGGTTACATCCTGGGATGGGTCAGTAGGTTGACCCAGGCGGGATTGATGATTGATGAAGATTAAGCCAATCAAGAGGTGGCACGGGCATGAATAGCCCGTAAGTGGTGGCCCTTTTGAGCCATTACCAGTATCAAAAGATGATACTGGAGATCTGTGGAGGCGCAACTGCACCCTGCGTGACGGGAGATGTCTCCCGGACCAAATGGTGACCAAATGGTCCCAGGCGGGACCGGGATACAAGCGTATATACATACACACAAGCTTCCTGTCCCCAATAACTGGAATTATCAATTATATTAATAATTATGTCAAATGTTAAGTCTTTCTATACTTTCTTTAGTATACGGTATGTTGACTTACGTTTTCTCTCAGGGGTGTGCCACTGGAGGAAAGTCTTCACAGAAAACGGTCCTTTTCGGATGTTGCACTCAATACAGTTGTGAGTATTATACCAGTTGTATTTTAACACCACTGTATTATACATTTGTATTTTAACACCACTGTATTGTACCAGTTGTATTTTAACACCACTGTATGTTGCCAGTTGTTTTATAAACCAGTTGTGAGTATTATGACTTGTATGACACAAGCATGTATTTCAACCCCTTGCTTTTGGGGTTACTGCTGGAAATTGGGCCTTATAGACTCGTGTCAGAATGGGGTTGTATCTATTGTGATGGTTACTCCTGAAGTGTGTGTGGGGGGGGGGAAGACTTGTCTTTAGCGGGAATTGGTTTGACTTCAAGGAGCGGCTCTTACTCGCTAAGCCGCCGGCTGCGCATACAAATTTTTCTAACCTTCAAAATTCGTCTTGAAAATTATATCATTATATCACTCTTAAGAGAGGTTACTCTTATCCTTCTTTAGGCAGTAATTAACCTATTAACCTCTACTTTAACCTATTTTTTGGGGGGAGTGGGTCTTGCTCCACTCTTAAACGCTCCAAATTTGCTCTAACAATAATGTCTTTCAGGACCCTTTCCTCCATTTTATGAGCCGCCAAAAAGAAGTTCCTTTAAAACAGTCTAATAGGGGGTACAAGTGTTGTGTTAGTTGACTCTTCGGAGGTTGCATGGCGTTTCACCTTTTTATGATGTCTTCAACAAAACCGTTAGAGAAGCCATTGTTGACTAGGACCTGCCTTACCCTACAGAGTTCTTCATCGACTTGCTTCCATCCTGTGCTATGACTGAGAGCCCGGTCGACGTAAGCATTGACAACACTCCTCTTGTACCTGTCTGGGCAGTCACTATTGGCATTGAGGCACATTCCTATGTTTGTTTCCTTAGTGTAGACTGCAGTGTGGAAGCCTCCGTTTCTTTCCGTGACAATTACATCTAGAAAGGGCAGCTTTCTAGATATAATAAGCATGTAAGAAATGTAATAAGTGTAATAAGCATTACGAAACACGTTCGAAACAACATATTCAACAACATTTTATATATATATATATATATATATATATATATATATATATATATATATATATATATATATATATATATATATATAATCTTGTTTGACTAAGGGTAAAGGGATTCACGGAAGGAACCAAAGGGTGTTTGTGTATAGTTCTGAGAACATGTCGCGTGTCTATTGTTTATTGCCTCTTGAGGGGAACTCCTGGACCCTCTGGTGGTAGAGTGCTTCTCCCTTCCCTTCCCCTCCCCTCCCTTCCCTTCCTTCCCTTCCCTTCCCTTCCCCTCCCTTCCCTTCCCCTCCCTTCAATTGCTACGCCATCAATTACTAAGAGCGTGGTTTAGCTTATTTCATTCGTTGATGGCTTAGTTTGGACATCAGGGTGTTGGCTCATTGATTGTAATCCATGTCATCGACGATATCTGTGCCATTAATACTCTCTGTGCCGCCAATTTTCCCTACATTGCCTACAGGGGCTTGACGGCTGAGTGAACAGCGCTCGGGATTCGTAGTCCTAAGGTTCCGGGTTCGATCCCCGGTGGAGGCGTTGTTTCTTTCATCTTGACGGTCCTGTTCACCTAGCAGTAAATATGTACCTGGGATTTTAGACAGCTGCTACGGTCTGCTTCCTGGAGGTTGTGTAACAAAAAGGAGGCCTGGTCGAGGACCGGGCCGCGGGGACGCTAAACCCCGAAATCATCTCAAGATAACGTCAAGATATCCATCACTGAGTCATACTCACTCACCATCAGCATGAAAGATAGCTTGAGAGGCGGGACCAAAGAGCCAGAGCTCAACCCCCGTAAGCACAATTTGGTGAGTACAATTAGGTGAGGTGAACTAGGAAATATATCATATGGTTGTTAATAAAATTTATTTATTTATTTATTTATTTATTTATTTATTTATTTATTTACTTATTTATTTACTTATATACAAGAAGGTACATTGGGTTTGTGAGAATACATAGCATAGTACAGTATTTACAATGTTGTAAAGCCACTAGTACGCGCAGCGTTTCGGGCAGAATATAAACTGATGCATGTTTATACCGGATGTAAACATGCCGAAAATTGAATTTCAACCACAGTCTGCTGGAATATGGAGCCTAAACAACAAATACAGTGTCTTGGTCCAATCTCTTAATGATCTACACTATCTTGAGGTTATCTTGAGATGATTTCGGGGCTTTAGTGTCCCCGCGGCCCGGTCCTCGACCAGGGCCTCCACCCCCAGGAAGCAGCCCGTGACAGCTGACTAACACCCAGGTACCTATTTTACTGCTAGGTAACAGGGGCATAGGGTGAAAGAAACTCTGCCCATTGTTTCTCGCCGGCGCCTGGGATCGAACCCAGGACCACAGGATCACAAGTCCAGTGTGCTGTCCGCTCGGCCGACCGGCTCCCTCCTCCTGTAGCACTATATGCTACAGGAGGGAGTTTTCTCAGTGACTTGGAGATTGGCTATCGTAAATTCTATCCCTAAACCTGGGAAGTACCATGCACTATCTATCGTACTACCTATCCATAAACCCGGGGAACAATAAAAAAGTCTATCGTAATTCTTGTCCTTAAACTCCAAAAAACAGTTACGTTCAATATCCGCTCCATCGGTTTCATGTGTATGCGTAAACTGTAAGGGAAGATGGTCAATAACAGTTTAATATAATAACAATCAAAATATTCAGGTAAAGGTACATACATAATATTGTAAACTGAACTTGGTGGGTGTCTCTGGCAAACCCAGTCGTGGTGTCTCTAGAAATCCCATTCAACATTCTTCAACATTCACCAGCAACACTGTAGCACTCGACGGGTCCAGTTCCTGCCCTCACAAGACGCTTCAGCCTCGACACAGAGCAGACAGCCAGACTCCGGCAGCATCGAGCTTCCTCGCTCTCGTCCCGTACTTCCTTCGACTTCGCCCGCATTCAGAGCGCTGCAGAGCGCTCTACACACACACACATCCCTGCTGCTCTACCCCCGGGCCTCACTCAGCTCTTTGCTCTGCTCCAGGCTTTGTCTCAACTACTACATCACTGCCAACAAACTGTCTTCCCTAACCAAGTTTGTAAACTAAATATATAACAACACTAAACTCCTTGTGTCTAATTAATCAAATACGAACACATTATCGTTAATTACAAGACGGCTTCGAAACCCTCAGATTAACGTGTGTGTGTGTGTTAGGAAACTCGAACGGTAGACTGTATCCACCCCCCCCCCGTCTGACTCGCAATTTATGTTGCAGTAACACCCGAGCCATGTCTTTGTCCCATGCAGACATTGTTGCATTATACAAGCAAGATATTGCACGGGTCGTCACTAATTGCGCGTTTAGTTAAACGAGGTTGCCATAACACGCGCACATGTACATTTTCTTTGGTGTAGTTTGACCCCATTTTCTCTTAATGCGAAGCATAACTCAGGTATTATTCTTAAACACTTTTCGTCATAATATCTGTGGTAATGCTTTAAGGCATGTTTGAATGGAATAATTAGATATACATTATATATGTATATAAGAGGAGTAGATATGATGCCCCCGTAACTTGTAAAGTATATTTGTGTTGTCGGGTCGGCTCCAGCAACTTAAGAATCGATGGTGATGTGTGTTGCTGGGACAGCCGGCGCCGGTGAGGTGGGACTAGTGACTGGCACTCACCAGTCCCGCCTCACCTGTTGGCCGGATCACGTGGCACTGGCACTCTCCGCCTCTCTGCCCGCCACCCGGAACACGTCATTAGTGAACGGATACATTGCTTCGCTTGTCATAACGGATATTGAGTAGCGATGAATGCCACGTGAGGCGTGTGTGTTAGTGCCATGTGTGTAGAGCAGTCAGCAGCGGGCGGGGGTGAGGGCCCCCCGCCCCACCGCCAGCTCTGAGCAGTGCCCACGCCGCCACGGGGCGCCACGCTACCCTGGGGCAGCCGGGGAATACCCTCCTGCACCCCAGCTCCCCTCCAGAACCACCCATCCTGCTGGGGGCACCAGTCTCCCCCAGTTCGGGGCGTTCTAGGTCCCTTCCGGGGCTGCAGCCTCACCCCCGGACTGCCTACCGTCGCCAGAGGTCACTCAGCAGCGTGCCCACGGCCCTGCCCACGGCCCTCGGGCATAGAGTGCCCCCGCAGACGCCCCTATCCCGGGGCACGTCGGCGTCGTCTCAAGCAGCACGACGCGACGACATGTGGAGGATGATGTACAGTGCCCCACATTGGGACTCGCCAGCTAAGAAGATGTGGAGCCCCGGTGCCCATGCCCCCAGAGACCCCGTCAAGCTGCCCTTCCTCGACGTCTCTCACACCACCGTCATCCAGAGGATCAGGGAGCGCTCAGCACACGACGATTTCACGCAGGTCAGCACGTTTTCCTACCTCCCCCCGTACACCACCTGCCCTGGCCCCCTGTTCACCATCTGCCCTGCCCCCTGTTCACCATCTGCCCTGCCCCCTGTTCACCATCTGCCCTGCCCCCTGTTCACCACCTGCCCTGCCCCCCTGTTCACCACCTGCCCTGCCCCCTGTTCACCACCTGCCCTGCCCCCTGTTCACCACCTGCCCTGCCCCCCTGTACACCAGCTGCCCTGCCCCCTGTTCACCATCTGCCCTGCCCCCTGTTCACCAGCTGCCCTGCCCCTTGTTTACCACCTCCCCCCCGTACACCACCTGCCCTGCCCCCTGTTCACCACCTGCCCTGCCCCCTGTTTACCACCTCCCCCCCTACACCACCTGCCCTGCACCCTGCAAGGTTGACCTGCTGCAGGCGTAGTTCACGCACGTGCGTGCGTGTGAGCACCTCAACACCCCCCTCACAGGATGGGTATGGCTAAATAGCGTGTGGGTGTGGGTTGCGTGATAGGCAAAATATGTGTAACTAACTCAATACAAATGTCAATTACTTGGCTTTAAGACCATTAGGGTCCAAATCCTGTACCGTTTATATGACACTGTCACACGTGGGAGGCATGATCACCACCTATAAAATTCTTAGTGGAATTGACAGATTGGACAAAGACAAA